TTTTTTTTTTTTTTTTTTTAAAAGAAAGGGTTTATAAGGCCATTGTTAGCAGAAAAAAAAAGAAACATGGTCTTGGGGTATGGAATCTAAACCACCTGCAGCATGCCTAGGTAGGAAAGACAATAGGTCTGTCTTCCCCTGGAGTTTTGCAAGCATTTTTATAGACCAGGTAGCAGGGGAAAGATTTGTAAGCCATTCCGAAAGGATTTACATTAGCTATAGACAAAGAGAATGGAAAACAGTAAGAGGGGCTAGTTCCAGGATGGGGAGCAGAGACGGAAAGGAAGTATGGGCTCCTATGGATTGGGAAGTTCATGTGCAAATAAGTGGAGGCTCCTGGGGTTCTATGGCACCTGGCTGTTCCCTCTTTTGGATGATGGGGGAAATAGCCACCTGGAAATTAATCCCAAATTCCAACATATATACAGGAATGTGAGCAGTCTTTTATTAGAGCTGTTCCACAGCTATTAATTAACACACTGTTTTGTCTATTTCTCTCGCTCTCTGGAATCTGTAATTTTAATAGAACATCTCAGAATTTTTTTGTCAAACCCTAACTGGCAAACCACACACTCTGGTAAGCTCCTCTTGGAGTTAGCTCTTACAGTTCTCCACTGAAGGGAGGAAGATAAGTGATTGCTCTTTCACAAACTTGAGTATTTCAGCATTAGTAGTAACAGCTGGGTTAGTTAAGCGGGAGTTAAGATTCAAGAAGTTAAACAGAGAATCCCAAAAGCCAGGCTGTGGTGTTTGCTCTTAGGCTCCTTATTATTTTTGTTCAAATTATTATCATGCTTGAATCACAATTTGCAGTTTGCTGAGGTTGCAAATTAAAGCAAAAATCACAACATGAAATTACATGTTGGCTAGTCTCTCCCAGATGAAAGCTGAATATTATAAATGCCATCTATTTTCAACCAAATAAAAGATGTAGGAGCTCAAATCATAAGCAAAGCATCTGATTAAGAAATGAAGGTTAGGCAGCTGGAACAGTTTAATCACTGGGTAGAGAAATCAACAAGGCACTCTGAAAGAAATTAAGTGGGAGAGGATCAGTGTTTGCAAAAATAACTATGATTGTGTTAAAGTCAAACATCAAATGCTTGGACATGTCTAAGATGCCACTCTACATTCTTTCAGAATAATTGCATAGAAATTATTATAATGAACAGAGAATCAATTAGTTCTATTTGATAGTTTTGGTTATAATCATAAAACTTTAATATTTTGATTAGTCCTTTCGTACAATTTATGATAAGTTTTAAAGTGAACCAAATGGATTCACTTTTATTTTATATTTTTAAAAATATATCTTTATTGATTTCAGAGAGAGGAAAGGAGAGGGAGATACAAATATCAATGATGAGAGAGTCACTGATCGGCTGCCTCCTGCACGCCCCCTACGGGGGATTGAGCCTGCAACCCAGGCATGTGCCCTGACTGGGAATTGGACCGCCATCTCCTGGATCACAGGTCAGTGCTCAAACACTGAGCCACTCTGGCCGAGCTGGATTCACTTTAAGTGAGCTTTTCTTTGTTGACAATTATCCTCAGATAATGAAGACTTCCTGTACTTAATTTGTACAGGAATGATGGAAAGGCGCTGAAAGTTTTTCTTTTCTTTTTTTGGCAGGGGTGAGGGTTGGGCTGAGTAAGAATGAACTGTTAATTACTCTTGGGAAGTTTAATGGGTTAAAGATCCTCTTGGAATAGCACAGGCAGCGGTTTGGCCTAGGTGGTAGAAGTGAAAAGATTGAATTCCTTGCAGATAAGACTATTTTTTTTCTAAAACAATTTCTGGGGAAGGGGTTTCCAAAGCTAATTCCAAGAAGGAGATGATCTTAAAGGACACTGGGATATCGAAAGGAGAAAGGGGTGGTGCCCTGTTCAAATTGGGACTCACTCAGTTTGAGATTTTGGCTAGATTTCCAAGTGGAGAAAACCAGCCAGTAGTTGGAAATATTAACACAGAAGGATTATCTTGTTATGGATACAGAAAAGAAAGTTTTTTTTCCATTATTTAATCTTTAAATTGCACAATAACACCCAATCATTTGGCTACTGACATTTTTTGGCATGCACGAGAAAAAGCAACTATTTCCATTGTTGTAAAGGTTTTATTAAAGAAAGTCAATGAATATAAACACTTCATAGCTAAATGAAGACAAACATGGTGGCTAAAAAAGAGTGAGAGCGAATTTTGCTGTATCCATTAAAAATACTGGAGCATCTGTTTGTAATGTCGATTTACTTGATGCTGGTTAAATGTGTAACGAGTTATATTAAATCAACTGTATTACTAAAGTCACTGAACAACCACCACACTCAAGTTTCCTGGGCTTTACTGTATTACTGCTCCCAGAATGACTATGTTTTGGGTTTCTACTTTATCCTATACATCTATTAATCCCTATTTTCTTTCTTTTTTTTTTTATTTATTAATCCCTATTTTCAAGAGAAAACAGCTTACCCAAATTCACCCCATCAGTGCTAACATTTTCTTCGCTGTAAACTGTCTATTCCTAGGTCAATCCAAACAATATTTGAGTGACTGCCCCATCTGGCACGAGGTTACTATTGGTCTGGTATCATTCTCCTAACATGTATGGAATACTGCTTCTTTTTTCTCCCTCGAAACAGAAAGTATTGCATAATCCTGGATCTCAGAGGGCACTACCACTGCCCTCTTCCCTAACAAACACTGCAACGTTATAATCTATTTACCTCTGTTTTGAAAATATATCTTTAAAAGCAATGCTCCCAACTGAAACAGTCAGTAACATTTTGAGAAAAACAAAACAAGAAACAAAGCATATTCCCGAGGGGAAGGATTTCTAACTCCAGGTAGGTCGAGGACCTAGTAATTATCTAATGAATACCTTTTAAAGAGGCCTGTAGTCAGGTTCTTACTTTTCCAATTTAAAACTGCTTAGATGCACCAGTAAGTTGTACGGTTTTTAAGGAGACGTCTAAAATGTGCGTCTTTAGGCACAGGCACCTGGGATAAGCCCAAAGGCATGAAACCGTAAGAGTCAAGGGCTAGGTTAGAAAAACGGTTCTCAGCAGCCAGTCATTTCTTTCATTCTAAAGAAACAAACGTGAGCTTTCTTAATATTCTGTTTTGTGGTCGCTATCTGATAAGCCATTCCGGGGGGAGTAGGGAAAACAGATCGAAGGGTGATGGGGAGGCAAGGGGAGAAAAAGGAATGGCATTACAAGTCAGACCAGGATCCTGCCAGTCTCAGTATTCCAGCATGGCATGGATACTGATAAAACCTGGCTTTTCCAGGCTGCTATAAATGAGCTCGACGCTCAAAGGAGAAACCGCTCCCCTTTCCTCTGTTCCCCCAAGTTTACCTGTCCTCTTGTACTTCAAAGTCTACTCCCTCGGATCGTACAGATGGGATTCTTGCCCTCTCATAACCCTCCCCCACGAAAGAAACGGGGTCACTCCTCATCTTTGCAGATGCTTAAGCCACTGCACTTAAATTAGTATTTCCTGATTACTCCGAGGAGCCGAAACTCCTATTCCAGTCTCAGGTTTGCATTGAACACGGCCCTCCTCTCCGCGCCTCCGCAGCGCCCCCCCCAGCTGCCCCGCGCGCGAGCCCAGGGCACCCCCGGGAGATGCGCGTGGCCGCCTGCGCGCTCCAGGTGTGCTCCCGCCCTCTTCCCCAAATAGATCTGTACGTGGTTGGCCCAAGCCCAGTTACCTACTCCAAGGTGTGGGGTGAAGGGAAGGCTACTCCTTTGGGAAGGGGAACGAAAGAAGAAAGCAGAAGTCCGAGGATGCAGTCTCCAGGGAAGCCGGTACAGCATGAGACACAGCAGCGCCTCGCGTTTATATGAGGATAGGCACATGGCCCCTCCCGGCACCCGTCGAAACCCCGCCGGGTACGGAGCCTTAGAAGATTAACTTCCGGGGCAGTGCGCGCCTAGGAGAGGAAGTGGGGCGTGCACTTCTTCTAGTCTTCTCAACATTTCTGGAATTCTTCTTCCGGATCGAACTCTGTTTTTGTGTGCGTGTGTGAGTGTAGGGTAAAAGTACGCTCCACAAGTCTCCTCGTTTGCTCCTTTTACTGGCATTTCCTTTTTGCTTTCTGGACCGGAAGAGTTCTTGAGCCAAAATAGTTCGTTGGGTACTTCCGGAACTGGAGAAATAGGTTCCGGGAGGGTGCTGGAGGGAGGGAGAGGGACGACGGCGGCAGCTGGAGGATGAAGAAGGAGCATGTGCTGCACTGTCAGTTCTCTGCATGGTACCCACTATTTCGAAGCCTAACCATCAAGAGGTAAGACGGGAGGGGGCCACGCCGGGACGATGGCAAAAGGAAACTGCGACATTTTGGGCAAGTTCTATCTCCATTAAAAAAAAAAGTAAAAAAAAAATGCAGGCCTTGTAATGACTGGATGGGAGCACCAGGGCCGAGATTTCGACTTCCTAGTGGTATTTCAGGTAGGGAGACCAATGAAGTCGATCCGCATTTGCCGGGCCTTCTGTTACGTGTCAGGGACTGTGACAGAGGAGGTAGAAGGTTATGTCATGGTTCAGAGAAGGTCAGAGCCTGGTGAGTAGTGGAATAAGCCAGTCACCGTCATTGTTTTTAGAATTACCAGAGGGAGGTGATCAGGAGAAGTGGGTAGTCCCGGCTTTGCCACTGACTAACCCACGGGGGTACTTACTTGCTTTTAGTACCCATAAAATAAGAACAATGATACCCCCCACAAATTCTGTTGTGAAGCTCCAATGTGACAGTGTATATGGGGAGCATTAGTGAAGTATAGTTATATATTGTTAGATATGGTCATGTTCCGTTAGAGGAAGCTATCTGGAAAAGTTGTGGAACAATATTTGCTTTTTATTTCTCCAGCCTACAATGGAGGAAACCATACCTATTTTGCAGGGCAAGCATGGGATTAACTGTTTCATCCTTCACCCAGGAAACTCAGGTATTGTAGGCAAGACAGCTAGGAGAATATCCCCAAATGTTCAAAAGCGATCATGCCATCTGGGGCACGATGCAAAGGTAGGCTTTTGTTCACTAAGAGGGATAGATCGAAGAACTACATGTCTATGAATAGCATTTTCTGTACTTGGCCTACTCTCTCTTTAGGCTTAGTTAGATATAAACTGTCCCTTGCCTTTCGTTCTGTCCTCTTGGTGCAGGGAGTGTGAATGCAGAGAGGGAAACTGTTTTGAAATTCTGAGGGATTGAAAGAGCATAAGGAGATATTCAAGACAGTTCATTCCCATCCTCTTATTCAAACATAGAATCAGCTTCCAGTTACCCATGGTGCAGTGGAGGTTAGAGTAGCTCAAAGGAAGATAATCTTTGCATTTGAACATGGTCAAAGTTACACCAAAAGAAAAGGAAGAGCTTCAACAGCAGCGGCAGACCTATCTAGAAGTAATCTTCCTATTTGATATGCCAGTCTTTCATTACCTTGCATAATTGAAATAGGCTTTGGGTTTGAGGTTATGATAGATTTATTTATTTTGGGTTGGCATAAGGTATGCTTGTGAACCTGTCAGACATTTTCACACTGAGTTTACTTAAAACTCACATTTGCTTTCTGTGCAGTTCTTTTGCAACCTCTAGTGTAGTTTTCTTTGCCTTCAGCAGTAAAATATAATGAATTGGACTCTGGAGTTAGCCATTCCAAGTCTGCCTGGCTTTGAATTTTGGTTCCACTTGCATCTTGAGCAAAGAGCGTAATCTAAGTCCCATTTGGAAAATTGAGAGAATAACAGGCTTGTCATAGGTATTAAATGAGATAAAGCATTTAAAACGCTTGCCACTGTTCCTGGCATATAGTAAACAAATATGCTGCCTGTTGTTACATTTTGGATTTAATCAACGTTCCATTGAAGCAAAATAATTTTAGTTCACTTAAAATGTGTAACATTCATATGAAGCTGAGAGTGAAATATAAACCAAGAGGTGGGATTTTTTGAACAGTCAATGACCAAGCTGTGTCTCTTGAAACCGTTCTTTACTCTTTTTAAACTCTTCAGTGTAGTTACTTATGTGGTGATATCACTGAACCTAACATCTGGAAGGGTACCTCTCCACAACCCAGGCCAATCCAGTAAAATTGTGTTAGCTTTGTCATTGCCATTGTCAGGCTTTAATGCTGTGTGTTTTTTGTTGTTGTTTTTACTCAGCATTATTATTTGGTGTTTATTAACTAGGTTCAGGGATGATTATGCAGGTAAGAATAGAAGTACATTTTTTTTGAGAAGTTCTAGAACTTTGACTCAGGCTTTAGAACAATTAGCTAGAAGACTTTGGGCCATCCACTTTACCTTTCTAAATCTGTTTCTTTCCTCAAACATGAAGGTTATATAGGGGCCTCTTGTAAAGGCTCCTTCTCCCTCTAAAATTTCATTAGAATAAAGTGTCAAAAAAAATTCATTAGAGTTACTTGTCTGTATATATAGAACTGTATCAATCTGATGGTATAGATATTTTGTCATTTAAGTCTTTTACATCTGCCAGTTAAGCCTCATTGGATTTTCGCCTGCATAATGGATTTCAATGACCAGTTTAAGCTCTTCTCTGACATCCTTATGTGTAAAGCATGCCTGGCAGTGACTTGTTAATGGCTTCACTCTTTTGGGCATGGTTCCCTTTTCCTCTGAGTTTTGGTAGCACTTGGCACAGCATTTACCATATTGTACTGTAATTTTTTTCTTTTATATCTTGTTCCTCTCATAGGCTTTGCTTTTTAAAAAAATTATTATTATTATTATTTTGGAGAGAGAGGGAAGGAGAGGGAGAAAGAGAAACATCGATGTGAGAGAGAAACATTGATCAGTTGCCTCTTGTATGAGCACCGACCAGGAATCAAACCCAAAACCTTTTGGTACATGGGATGACGCTCCAACCAACTGATCCACACTGGCCAGAGCAGGTGCTGCATTCTTTTTTGCCTGGCCAGGAGTTGCTCAGTGGGTGAGCATTGACCTAGGATCCAGGAGATTGTGGTTCAGTTCCCAGTCAGGGCTCATGCCTGGATTGTGGGCTCGATTCCCAGTCGGGGGCATGCAGGAGGCAGCCGATCAATGATGACTCTCTCATCATTGATGTTTCTATCTCTCTCCCTCTCCCTTCCTCTCTGAAATCAATAAAAATATATTAAATTTTTTTTTTTTTTTGCTATTTTGAGGGTAATTAACATTTAAATTGTATAATTGGTTTAGAATGGTGATACATTAAACTATAAGAAAGATTTTCAAGTGTTTAAACAGTATTGGAATGTTTTCAAGAACCTTAGATTCACTATGCTTACAGGTTAATTTGCTGGCTTCGTAAGAGTTAAATAACTGGGAAGGCTTATCTAGACAGTTGACATACAGGGATGGGCAAAAATAGGTTTACATTTGTGAGTACATGAAACAGAGAGTTTATTCTTGTATTATTTACTTATTAATTATTGTATTATTTATTTGTATTACAACTATAAACTTATTTTTACCCACTCCTGTATTTAAAAAGAAAAATGAATAGATTATTTTTATAATAGAGTTAAAACTTTTAAAGCAACTTTTAAGCTTCAGAGACTCACTTGATATTGGGTAAAATTTAGCAGGTTGACAAATACATTAATAAGATTTGGTAGTTGAACTTTTTTAATAAAAGCCTGAAGAACTAGGCATTTGAATGTGAAATTGGAACTTAGATAAATCAGATACTAATTTTTAAAAGCGCAGTAGCCCATGAAATAATCTTTTCTTTGCACAAAAACCATTGTAATGTGCCAAAAACTTATTCAGTAAATAAATGAAGCATATTATGTTGATGATATTCTATTGACTCTCTGAAAGCAGGACATAATCTATTTTATGTAAAAAATGCATATGCCCCATGATCAAAATAATAGCATTACCTGTAGGTATCAGGCAGGACTTTTTGTGTGATTTATTACTGCAGAGTAAAAAATAAGTGATCTAATAAGTTTCTTAAGTGACTTCAGGTATGGCTTTGCCAGTCTTGATTATGATGATCTGAAACAAATTAAGCAAAGGCATGGCCAGTTAAAGAACTTTATCCCTCTGGGGATCAGTTAAGTAGGATGCCACGAAAACATCCACACATAATATGTATTCTTAGGCTTATGTGTTCATTGCCAACCAAAGAATGGTTTTCAGAAGCTTAAGTCTTTTGCCCTCTCTCCTAGAAGGTGGTCAGATGCCATTCCTCTTCTTATTTGTCTGTTGCATTTCCCTTGTTGCTGCAATTATCTGCTGGTCTCTAATTTCCTAAAGGCATATAATCATTGTACTCACTCAGAATTCACACTAGGCTTCCATTCTGTGATTTCAGCCTCCTTTTTGGATTCAGTTGACTTTTGTTTCTTTACCACAAAGACAGTTGTGGTAATTTTATGAACCTAATTTAGCTTACTGGAATATTTATTCATATTCTAATTTCTAGTCTGCTGCCACCAAATGTACATCATTAACATTTTCCACTTCATAGTCAAATAATGGGAACAAGTAATTAAAAAATTAATTGAGTTTGGAATTTTTTTCTTTCTGCTTATGCTTGGTTTTTTAAAATAATACCTTTTTTGGTATATGCATTTTTTTCTTTATAGTGTCATTCTTCCACTGCCTCAGAATGTGAAGGATTATTTACTTGATGATGGAACTCTGGTGGTTTCAGGAAGGTAAAGTATATCAGAAAAACACTTTTAATACTTTTATCATAAAGGAATGTTGTACTGATTAAATCTCAGCCATTGCCATGTAAAATAAATATATTAGTTTTGGCACTATTCTCTCCCCTTTATTTTCCTAGCTAAAATTATGTGCTGATTTTGATCCTTTATTTTTTGTCAATGCTTAATTAATAAGACTTTCCAAAATTGAGTACTCCCTTCTCTAA